CTGCTCCTTGCGCCGGACGCATAGCGGTCGTAAGACCCAGGTGAGTAACGCCTCCGCAGATCTTACAATATTATCCTGACTTGCCATACATTGTAGGCCTACCTCCCGTGTCTATCTCCTACCACAGCAGAATGAATCTAGCATAGTATACACCAGCATGTACTGTACAATTGTGCACCTAATATACCTCTTCCGTTAATCTATTCCCTATGAGTGAGTGTGCAAAGCCCAGGAGGCCATCTGCTGGTATTATCTACGGGCGAGCTGCAACAGCGCCATGGTATGCTGCTGAATTTATGCAGGCTGCCACGGTGTGCTGCCAAACTTATGCAGGTTGCCACAGGTGCTATGGAGACGTGGCGGAAAACTACTGGTCGCAGGGTAATAGGGGTCAGTTCCACCAGGCTGCTGGAACTACGGAGCTCACGGGGCGCTTCTGGTCCCAGACTTTTTTTCCTGATGTGGGCGGACTGCCCTCAGCGTACTCCAGCAGCATACTCGTGTCGCCTCTTCTTCGCTCTACCTCGCTATCCGTTACAGTGCGCTCTTCATCGTACCTTTCTACTGGACATACCTCTGACCGGCCGACCTGTTGTTCAGATGCAGCTTTCCGCACTCATCACCACTCTCGCCCTCGCGGTCAGCATCGTCAATGTCCAGTGCAGTGCCTGTGCCATCATCACGCTACTTGGAACCGACACAGACATCATTCCGTGTGGTGAAGGCACCATCTGCGAAACCTCGGTTTCGGAACAAGTCCCGATTCCAGAACTTGGGTTCGTGCTTACGGTTAACACTGGGGTCCGTCATCTTCTTTGACCCAACACCATCGAATTGCTGACCTGCCCCATTTCAGACGTGCGTTTGAATGGTTACTCAACAGTCAGCGGCTCTGCTTCGTGGCTTCGACATCAGGGAAAAAAGTCTGGGCCCAGGAGCACTCCGCATACTCCGTGGCTCTGGTAGGGCAGTAGAATGGTACCTAATTCGGCAGCTACCTGTATCATCACTCGCCCTCCGTAGCACCCAGGAGCTGCCTCGCAGCCTAAGCAGCAACCGGTGGCTGTCTCTTTCAGCTACAGATGCACAGTGTAGAAGGCTGTAGAATGTGTAGCATGTAGCAACACTCATTTATTCATGCGACTCCAAATAAACCTGGTTTATTAAGTACTACAGATAACATAGCAGCGCAACATGATTATGACTACCCCTGCGCCTCCACCACTTCAGTGACGTCACCCTGGCCCTGGTCAAGTTGCACCTGCTCACGGGCGCGACGGCGTGCAGCAAGCTCTGTGCGCAGGCGATCCTCGGCATCCTGGGAGAAATAGGCCACAGTAATACTGGTTGGTGGCACCTTGCTCAGTTTGCTATCGGAGATTGTTGTCCTGAGCTGCCAGGTCGCGGAATAAGACAGAGCCACTTACAGTACTACACGGAACATGTCGCTGCGCATTTTGCGCGTCTCATCCGGATCTACGGCCGACCAATGCTTGGCCCAGCTGAGGTGATCTCTGTAATGGTCGTAGTAATCCACCTCCGAGAACACAACTGAGTCGTCGCGCTGCCCATTCTCGTAGCAGTCTAGATGAAATCGAATCTATTAATAGATGTTATAAGTGATATGTACCGCAAGAGAGGCAGAAGAAAGGTCATACCATAGTAAATAAAAGCGCAAGTGTCGGAAGCGGAATGGGGTTGAGCTTGTCCTGGTGAATGGCGCCGGCATCTTGGGCGTTCCGGAACAACTGCTCGCGGAGTGCCAAGGTAAACATATTATGCTCACCATAACCGGTCGGACTGTCGGTATCCCATGTCTACTGAACCGTATCAGATTCCAATGAAAATATTATCAGATCTCATGCACCTTGTGGCAATACCGTGGAGGCGAGCCTTCAACCAGCCGCCAGTAGAGGGCATGGCTGTGATTAGCAGCCTCATTGTCAGCAGCTTCGGGAATCTTAAATGCGTCGAGCATGCGCATGCGTAGCTTGTCTTTGAGATGGCCACAAAATGTTGAACTTTGATTCATTATCTACTCTCGTAGTTATATAAGGATGTGAGTGGTAGCGTACGATATGGTCAACAGGAAGCTCACCTAGTGATGTGCGGGCCCGGCTTGGGCTCAAAGCCCGGGCTTGGGCTTGTGGCGATGTCAAGCCGAGCCCTGAGCCCGAGCCGAGCCCGAGCCCGGCCCAAGCCTTGGGCTTAAGCCCGGGCTTGCTCACAATACAACGAGTGTTCCGGTGCTATCAAAAGGGAATGTATTTGGGTGTAGTAGATTAATACTGCATGTACTCACTAAATTATAACCTCCAGAAGATCTACACCTGCGGAACAAGTCGAGTCGCAGCGAAGTCCATGAGCGTGCGCCTACGGCAGGCACCAGATGGTGACGCACAATCGTGCTCGGCGGGAGCCGTTACATCTAGAATATCTACATTTTGTCTTCTATGTGCATATTAGGTCGCTCTCTCCTCATTCTGAACTCAGGGAACGGTAACGGAGCCAGCACACCCAAGCCTGGGCTTCCGGGCCGGGCTTGGGCTTGACTACGCTCCAAGCCCGGCCTTGAGCCCGCTGCCAGGCTTGACTCGGGCCAGGCTTTTTGAGCCGGGCTTGGTGGGCTTGGAGGCTTTGAGGCCCGGCCCGCACATCACTAAGCTCACCAATGTCATGATGCGAAAGGAACCATCCTCGGGAAAGCATTTCTTATGTTCATCACATATTGATGACCATGCCTCTCGGGCCCATATCCTCTGCTGCTCCGGTGTTGGAAATGCGTGGACAGTGGTGAGCTTCAGGTTGTATAGATTGATGGCCTTCGAAATCATGTTCCTGAGCCACTTTTCATAGTCGGATTGCCGTGGCTTAGATCCTTGAGGTACCTTTCCACCCTTGTTAGCAATCACATCGACTTGAAGAGGCCTCTGTACAGGCAAACGGGAGCGACGTGGACGCTTGCGTGCAGGATCCCCATTATCCGGCACCGGAGGAGAACGAGGCTGTGGGCAGGAAGTAACTTTCCCACCGTCAGCATGCGCAGCTGCAACAGAAGAGTAAGGCTTACCTGAAATGCTATGGTCATGATGGCTAGCGTTGCTTTCCTCTGATGGCGTCGACGCCGGGCCTTGATTGGGACGTGTGTCCCCTTCGTTAGATAAGAGCTCAAAAGGCGATGACAACAGACCATGAGATACCAGTGATAGCCTGAATAAGGTTGAGGATTGATGGCTAGAAGGTAATGGAAGAGTGCGTGAAAGAGAAGGTTCGCGGCTACTGTGATGAGATGGCGCCGGTGGTGTCGACGTTGTGCGATGTTGACCGGCATGCAATTCTTCACCTGTTAGATCAACATCTGCCAACTCTGCTGACTGAGAAATGGGATCTCCCAGTCTGATGAGCCATTTCTTAGCCGCTGGCAGTACCACAGGTCGTGCTTGAATGTCGCCAAGGCTGCGGAACTACAGGTACATACATCAGCTGTTGCCAGGAATTATACCACATGAACATACCTTTGGAGGCCCTTGACTGTCTGAGTCTTTGGACTCAATGTCATTGTCATCCTCGGCGCTGGATGAGCTGCTATCTGTTCTGGCTTGCTTCGATGCGCTGGCCTGTTGAATGAGCTTTGCAAGTTGTTTCTTCTGCTTTTCAATCTCCTTGAGCTGTTTTTGAAGCTCCTTTGTCAAAGTTTGCGAATCTGAAGACAGTTCTCAGGGACGTGTCATTCAACCTGAGGTACCACGCACCGGCATTGGCTGCCTTGGTTGATTTCTTACCTGGTCGACTCGATTTCCTAATATTCTGTGGCATAGCAGATCTGCTAGAGACTTTTTAAAAAATGTGAGGGCGAACAAAAGGCGAAGATGAAAAAGAAGAGACAAGGAGTCAGGTTGGAAAGTCAGGTTAGAAGTTGAAATGAGGTTCGGCCACTCGGGCGGTAACGAGATTAACCTTCACACGCTCACCAGTCAGCTACTTACGCTGCTGCATTCTTGTCTGCCACCATGCCTCGACGCACACAAAATAAGACCGCTGTGCAACTGTTCTGCAATTTCTGTAACCGCACCTTCACTAGCAAAATTGGACTCAAGTCCCACGTCCGTCAATCACCACGATGCCACGAGGATCTGGACAGACGCACGAGGGAGGTATGCGAGAACAGCTTTGCACCTGATTTACTCTCAAGTACCCCAAATGATCTCAGCACAACCTTGAATGGTGATGGTGAGGCCACTGGTACCCTGCCAGAATCTCTGCCGGAGCAAGAGCCATCTGCAAAGCACGCCAGAGTGGAAGAAATCAATGACGACGATGATCTTGAGGCTGGAGGACATCCAAAACGACCCTTTATTGACTATTCCGCACGCTTCAAGGTCAAAATCAAGAAGAAGGGGCTTACACTTTTTGAGTCAATGCATGCTGACCAGATGCGGAAGGATAACCCATGGGCACCATTTGAGGACGAAGAGGAGTGGGAGTTGGCTCACTGGCTTACAACCCATGGGCTGTCGCAAGGTGCAATTGATGAATATCTGAAGCTTCCTATTGTAAGTATCCCATCATTCTCGCACACAGTGTGAATAACCACTCACAAATCTCAGACGAGGGAGCGCACGAAGGTCTCGTATAAGAACAAACAGTCACTTAGAAAAAAGATCGAGCAGCTACCGAAAGGGCCGGGGGGGACGTGCGAGATGTTTACTACAAAGGGCGATGTCGTAGATCCAAAGAATGGACAGAGGAAAGTTCAGACCTTTGAACTTTGGAAGCGCGACCCTGTTGAGTGTATCAAGGAGCTTCTGAGCAACCCTTTGTTCCATGAACACCTTCGATACGCACCGGAGCCGCAATACGAAGACGCCGAAGGTGCAAAGCCTGTTATCAATGAGATGTGGACTGCTGAATGGTGGCCGCAGATTCAGGTGTGCCTGCAGACATGGACGGCAAATTAAAAGCTGATATGGTCACGATAGGAACGCCTGCCTCCCGGGGCGGTTGTCGCACCGGTCATTCTGTCATCAGACAAGACGCAGCTATCAGCCTTCAGCGGTGATAAGACTGCCTGGCCTGTGTATCTCAGTCTTGGAAACATCTCAAAGGATCTACGCCGCTCACCATCCTCTCATGCGATGATCCTCATCGGATATCTTCCCGTGGCAAAGCTTGCATGTTTCTCGAAGGAAAAGCGACCGCGCGCCAGCTATCAGCTCTTCCACGACTGTATGCGCTCGCTGTTGCGTCCGTTGGTAGAGGCAGGCCTCAATGGAGTTGATATGGTGTGCGCAGATGGGTTGTACGCACGGTGCATCCTATTCTTGCAGCCTACATCACAGATCACCCGGAGCAGTGCTTGCTGACCTGCGTCAAGGAGAACCGTTGCCCAAAATGTCTTGTACGCTCTGAGGATTGTGGTACAGGATTGGGGAAGCACGTGCGCTGGCGAGACCACAAGCAGACAGCGAAGAAGCTGAAACGCGCGGCAGCTGGTGAGAAGACAGCTGACTTCCGCGAAGATGGTCTACGACCTGTTAATCCACTCTGGGCCAACCTTCCTCACGCTGACATCTTTGTCTGCATTACTCCTGATATCCTGCATCAGCTTCACAAGGGGATGTTCAAGGAGCATGTCGTGAAGTGGGCATCCGCATGCATCCCCGACTCGGGTGATGACGAGGTCGATGCCAGATTCAAGTGCATGCCAGCGCATCCTGAGCTGCGTCACTTCCGAGAGGAAATATCACTCGTTTCGCAGTGGACAGGAACAGAGTACAAGAACATGGAGAAGGTCTTTCTAGGTGTCATCGCCGGCGCAGTGCCAAAGGAAGTCATACTTGCCATTCGCGGACTTCTTGATTTCATCTACTACGCTCACTTTGAGTCGCACACCAGCACCTCACTCACATGCCTTGATGCCGCCTGGTGCCAGTTCCACAAGTACAAGTCAGCCTTTCGCACACACTACGCACTTGCTAAGGAGATGCTGAAGAACTGGGCAAACTTCAACGGCATTCCGAAGCTTCACGCCATGGATCACTACTTGCGATCTATCCAGCTTCTCGGCGCTGCGGATGGTTACAATACAGAGGGAACCGAACGCTTGCATATCAACTTTTCGAAGCATGGCTATCGTGCGGGGAACAACAAGAAGTACATCCGCCAGATGACCGAATGGCTGGACCGGCAGGAGGCAGTGCACCGCTTCCATGCGTACCTCCAATGGCGTCGACCAGCTCCCAAAAAGGGCCCGCAGCTTGAGCGCGTTCTGCACGAGAGAGAAAAGTTGCAGAAGAAGCTTGATGAGCCTGGTGCAGAGGAGCCGACGTTGCCAGCTGGGGAGAAACAGGAGGAACAGGAGTCCCGTGGCCTCCGCTCGCGCGACGGCACTCAGATCAGCTACAGGATCGCGAAGAAGCCGGCTCATCCTCACGTAAAGGCTGTAGAGGCTGCAGAACGCTTTGGTGCGACAGATCTCTCATGGTACCTGGAAGACTTCCTGCGAGACGCAGCTACATTCGCCCCCACGGCCGTTGCACAATCTGTACCCAAGCTTTCAGAGCTATCGCGCAACACGTGCATCGACGTCTACAAGCAAGTTCGTTTTGACTTGCCGGTCATGACGCAAGTGTCAAGGCATGCAGTCTCAGACGTCGTCCAAGCCGTTCCGGCGCAGAAGACTTTGATGAGCGGCGTTGAGATTGAGTCAACATTGGCCCATTTCTCAACAGTTCTTGCCTACAGGAATGCCCATCGCCTTGAAGGTAGCCGTGTCAACGGCTCTGAGCGGGCGGCAGATGTTCAAGGTGCGTCTCAATGCCTTCTGCTCAATCAACCGGCAACTCACAGTTATCTTTAGATCATCTTGCTGTTGGGCGTGTCCGAGTGATTTTTCGTGCGCCAGATGCATGGTCGAAACTGGCACCGCATCCTCTAGTATACGTCGAATGGTTCACGTCACTGAACGCGTTTGATGAGGACCTGGGTATGTATAGCGTGACGCACTCAATGTCTCGCAGATACCGGGGCTTTTGTAGCATCTCTGTGATCCCAATTACATCCATTGTTCGCTCTTGTCACCTTATTCCACACTGGGGAAAGACCCTTGATCTCTCGTGGTCTCAGGACGAAATCGATGAGAACTGCAAGAACTTCTATGTTAATCCATACCTGCGCCATTCTGACTTTGTATTACTTCGTTTTTTGCACCAAGAATAGACTTGAATTCCATGGTATCATACTGTGAATGCGTGAACTCTCAATACCATGCATTGGTGTGCAACAGTACTACACTACACTCCATGTCGCGCCCTAGCCGCGTGTAAGAGCCGCTGGGGGCTGCGAGGTACCAGGCGAGAGCTACCGACACTCCGGGGATCGGGTAGAGAAGCGCCTTCTCCGTAGCCAGACTGTGTTTCCTGATGGATGTAGTGAGATGGCATCTGTACGAGTATATGTGAACGAGTAGCGAAAATGATACCTTTTGGCCGCACTCTTGCAGTAACATCAGCATGTCCCAGCTCCTTGTATACGTAGGACAGAGGCGGCCGGTGTTTTGGCAGAGGATTCACTTAGCGGCTATTCAGACCTCCGGCGTGGTGACTATCCTAGCTAGTAATTTGACTGGCTTGGCTTCAAGCCAGCAAGCCGGCCAAGCCGAGCCTGCACAAGCCGGGCCAAGCCAAGCCAAAGGGTGCCGGCTTGGGAAGGCTTTTGGCTTGTCTTGCATGTCAAGCCAGCCAAGCCAAGCCGGCAAGCCGCGGCTTCAGACAATAAACTTACCGTATTTACTACTGCTGTTGGAACAATCAGGGATAATCTTCCAAAATATTATATTGTGTTCTTCTATACTGTATTCATCAGTAAAATGACAGTGTTTTTTGGTGCTTTTTGGGACTTTCAACTTCCAGAGCCAACTTTGGCTTTTGGCGGGGGGGGGGGGGACTTTTCGGTCTTGTCAGCATACTTTTTTTGGTCTTTTAAGGCAGCTTCTCGAAGAGGTTTGTTAACGGCGATCAGGCTCCTGTAAGCTTCTTCAACTATATGGAAGGAGTAAACACAGCCCAACGCATTATTTAAAACTCTAATCGAGATTTATAATAAATTCCTAGGATTTTCAGAGCCTGGGGCGGCTGGCGGAGGTGCGACTGGCTAATGAGCATGCTGTGGGCCTTAAGATGCTCTCGGTAGCCGTGCTGTGGTATAAAAGTCTAGGATGCTATTTCATGCGCGTGATGATCTGCATATTTATTTACATAAAATGCTCGAAAGGCGTCTAAACTGTCCGTATGCTCTAAGGTATGCGAAACAAATTCGTCTCCAAACACAGGCAGCAAGTGTGCACCACGAACAATAGTATCAACATGAACAACACCTTTTATCCTCTGTCCAGCTTGGTCAGCATCTGGTTCGACGATCCACATCCCGGTATCTTGGCAAGGAGTATTGGAGACAGGTGAGAACCATGTGACTAGAGTGCATGGAAGAGTCACGCCCGCGTGCTTGAAGGCAAAAAATAGCAGCACGCGTGCAGCGTGCAAGCCTGAGAAGCCCGGTACAGATGAATCAGCGTTAACATAGACACAGTCTTGACGCTTCGGTTCGCCGCGCCATGAAGGTACGGAGCGTATACGCTCATGTCGCATGCCAGACGATCCTGACCAGTCGCTAGGTGCATAATACGTCGCGATGGCAGATGGATAGACGATTATGCGCGGGGGAGCGTCGGGGCAGGGGGATATATCAACATCTGAGCCTGGAGTATCCGCCTGAGGATGGATCAGGTCGTACAAAAAGCGTCTGATAAGCTCAGAAAGGGTTGGATGGCCAAGAGTGTGTGCGAGTGTCTCTATATCTCAAGGATAACCGCGACCTACGATTATTTAGTGAAACAACCATAAGTAGTATAACAAAAACTTACTAGGATTTCGGGCTAGAACGACCTCCGCCTCCACTTGGTCTCCATCGATAGCTCCCTCGTCATCATTGTCATCAGTTGGCAGAGAGCCCTTGGTAGTTGGAATGGCAAGCTGCGGCGGGGGAGGACTCAGAGGGAAGTGAGTGAGAAGACCAGGAAGGGGGCCATCTAGCATTCCTCGCGCAGCAAGCTCAACACGAAAAGCGGCGAGCTTGTCTAGCCGCTGATTAGTCACGAGCATCTGTGAGAGCGCATTGTGCTTGCTTGAACAACAGTACAGCTCTTTAACAGCCTTGATGTGCTTCGACTCAGTGATCAACGAGCAGAGGCCGTTGGGTGCACCAAAGAGAATGATGAGCCTGCGGTAATGTACAAGAGCATGCTGACGTGGAAGTGAGAAGCCTTCTGGCCGCACGTTCTCGTCAATGAACACCACTCGCTCTCGGTGGAATCGTGCAAGAGCGTCGTCGATGGTGGAGAGCGTGTGTTCGTCGATGACATCTCGGCGAATGAGATAACAAAAATCCAGGAAAGCACTGAAAGTGCGCACAATCCCAGATGGTACATGCCCTGCAATCGCAGATAGGTAGACCTAGATTATCTCGATTAAGTATGAGTACGCAGAAAGAGGAGAGTGGAAGTACCTTCATTAGGGCCTTTGAGTCGTCACCTGTCCACTGCTTGAATCCTCGACCCTCAGGGAACCGTCGGAGTCCTGGAAATGCAGGTGCTAAGGCGATTCTATTGAGAGATTAGTACATCGTTGGCCACCGTAGCCGAAACAGGCACTTCACTTACCGGCGATCGATGTCGGCCATAATAACAGCAGCTCTTGTCTTTCCGTGTTTGAGAACAAGGTATTCTTCAACCCAGGTCACGAGATGGTCTTTGAATGTTTCTTTAATGACCTGGTGGAGGAGATCGGGTGAAAGGAGCTCGTGGATGTCAGCACGAGGGAAGTTCACAGTAAAAGGCTGTCCCGCAGCTGTCAGAGGCCCGGTTTCTCATCAGACAATCTAAGAGATCGTACCATTATGTCACCGATGGCTCCGTAATTGTCCCACAACGCCTTCGTATCTAGCGCGTCCATAAGCAACCTTGTGTGCTCACGAGAGCGACTGATGCCGCCTTCATCAAGATTGCTTGGATGTGCTGTACATCTGCAAATATGTTGTTAGCGTCTGCAATAAATTTATTTCCCAGATGCGCAGGCTTACCTTGGACACCAACCCTGAACGATACAAGCCAGCAGTGCTTGCTCAGGGTAATCTGCAATGTAGGGTCCGAGGCCAAACACCACCCGTCGGTAGTGTCCATCAGCACACTTGATTACTTCTGGTACGGTCATACCAGAGCGGAGCGACTGGAGTATATGAGTAAGACTGGAGTGGAAGAGCTGGCGCCGGAACTTGCGGAATGCCGGGTCGTTCTGGTATTGGCGGTCGGCTATATAAGGTAAGAGAGCGTTAGAGCCATGTGAAGTTCAGGAGAGGCCAAAACGCACTCTTTGGAATGGCCAGAAAGCCGATTAAAGCTACTGAGTTTCGATGGGATCGACGGGTGCTGTTGTGAATGACTCCGAGAGACATATACAGCGGGTAATACTCATTCTGGCCTGTCGCAACTGAAATGGTTGTCTTGTCACTTCCGAGAATGAATGGGCAGAACATCGAGCCATGTGTCGCCTCGTCTTGAGCGATAATGTTCTTTATAATTACTTAAAACTTAGCTGTGCACACTGAGCGTACAGGAAACCACGCACCGCCTGATTCCAAGCCCAACTGCCCAACATGAAGTCTTGATACTCTCGCTCCCCCTGCTGACTGTATACTCGCTTTGGAGCAAAATCCATCTCATTTGCGAAGTCTGGATTGCCAAGCATGTTCTGACCAACCTGGTGGGGACAGCGAAAGAACACCTCGTATTCACGAGCCATCCATGGCGGAGGGTTGGACTCGGGGATGACACCACTATACTGACCGGCAAAGCTCTGCCACGGAATATCGCCGTTTGAGATATCGTCAATGAGAGCTTTCATGTGATCGGCATTATCCAGAATCGGATCGCCGTACTTCGATGCCAGTAGCTGCATGAGAAAGTCGATTTGGCCTGCAGGCATTTGCGAACGTTGGAACAGAAAGTTGGTGACTTCAAACTGTTCACGGTCTTCGAAGGGAGAAAAGCTGTTGTCGGAGCGAGGAGAAGCTGGTACTGGTGGCTCTCCTGCACTAAGAAAGTTGCCCTGAGCATCGCATGGACGACCTAGAAGAGAGTATGATATAATCAGCTTACAAAATCTCTGAAGCATGATTGATACGTACCATTTAATATTGGATGGCAGACAGTGCAGAAATTGGACTGTGAATCTTTCTGTGATGGCTGTGGCTGAGACTCATCTTCACTTGTGGGCTCTTGGTGTAAGGGAAAATCCTCGTGCGAAGGAACGGTGGGAGATAATGGCAGAAGCATGGACGATGGTGCTGGCGGTGAAGGGCGACGATGTGCTGCATTCAGATGTTGCGACAAGCCTGACTGTGCACTGAGAAGCTTGTTGCATCCTGAGACTGGGCAGATAAGATTGCGAGGGCGAAATGAACGGCGAGGAGGCATGGTACTGCAGGTCAAATTGTCCAGATGTGGGCCTTGGTGCCTTTGGAGGAGGAGATCGACACCGATCAAGAGATCTGGTAAGGGATGTGTCAGCCACATTGGGCAAGGTTTTGCCCTTTGCCCACTTGCCTCTCTGCCATCTCATCCCCCTTTTGCCACGCTCTCTGCCACTTCATACTCATGGCACCTTCCAGACCTAAGTTGACTGTAGCAAAGAGGTCTGTTGACATGTCAGAAGGTGTTAGAACACGGGCGGGCAACAAGACAGCTCACCCTGCTGCAAAATTGGTTCCCAAACGTCGTCGTTCAACCACAGAAATTCAGGCGCAAAAAAAGGCCAAGGCACAAGATCAAGCTGCAGAGGATTCCCAAGTAGAGAAAGCTGTTACAAAGCTTGCTGAGCTTGAAAACCGTCAGCAGCAGCAAGATGAAGATATGGAGATTGTAACAAACCCTGCGCCTAGCTCGGTACGTTGCTTGGCAAATTATGACGACTGACTTCTAACTACCAACTCTGAAGCGAGCTGATGAAGTTGACAATGTGCTAGTTGTGGAGGATCTGCTGGAACAACAAGGTAGATTATATGCTATCAGCGTAATAAGCAGCCTAAACAGCACTGTTACTTACCACCATGATACAGAGCCCGAGACTCATGACAACAAGCAGCCAGAGGAATGGCAGGAAGAATCACCTGGTTTAGGTGAAGATGGCGAATACGTGAAGCCTCCCAGCGAAGAAGACGATGACGAAGGCGGCGACGATGCTGAAATGGAGTTGGACGACTTAGAGATCGCCGGAAAGCAGCCCTCAAGCCGCAAAAAGATTCGCACAGGTCGCGCAGAAGTGGAGGCAAAAAGAAAGAGCCTGAAGCAGAGTAAAGATGCGGATAGTCAGATGGTGGGAATGCGGAGAAGAGAGGGACCAGAAGAGGATATGCACGTTCCCACTCTTGTCACCTGTTTGTGTTGTGTTGATGTCGGGATCCTTTCCTAGTAATCGTGCTACGAAGAAGGCAAAGAAGACCAAACGCATCGGAGGCCTATCGGATGAATGGCAAGCTGCGCAACAGGCAGCGAAGGGAAAAGACAAGAACTCCTCCTCTGACTCGACTCCTGGCCAGCGTGAGCCTGAAGTAGAGATTCAAGTTAACGATTATGCAGGACTTGAAGATGATGCAAGGGACGATACCATCAATGAGCGCGAAGTGACCGTTGCATCTTCAACAGAACGAGTTGCTGATCTCGGCCCTCAGGTGTGTTCTGTTCCTCATCAGTCCTTGTCTCCTTCCCATTCAGTGCTACGGTCATCCAGACTCTTGTCAAGATCAAGACCACTATCACCTGTGGAGATCCTGCCACACGGCGCAAAGGCAAGAGCGGTCATCGAGCTAAGCCAAAGGTGACGGAGCTAGCACCTGAGCTCCGCCAGGCATTCGGTGACACCATTGCGCCTCTCATCCGAGAGTACGCTGGTGCGCAGGATGTGTGGTTCAAGATTTCTGTACAGGATCTTGAAGCCCTTCTGTCGAAAGGCTTGGGGCATACCGCGGTGGCCAAATATGACCTTTCCGACCCAACTGACGCTTTAATGAAGTTGGTACGTTTGAATTTGATATATTTTTATGTTTGGAGTATACGATGTGTACCTGATTGTTGTAGTGCGCAGAAACTCTACATCAGTGGAGGAACCAATTCGCACAAGAGGCCGAGGAGGCCGTCAAGACTTTGATCTCGGAAGACGAGCATCTTGATTCCAAGGAGAAGATCAAAGACTTCGTCACGTACATGCTTGGGGATGAGGCTGGTAAAGCGCCCTTTGTATACGAGAGCTGGGGAGGAGGAACGAAGCGATCAGTAAGTCAGACTCATGAAATCTCAACTCTGCAATGACAACCGCAGCTCTTCTGCTCATCTCGCTGATCTGATGCCCCTGCAGGGACGCTTCGCACATCCTTTGATCATTGCTACGTTCGCCCACCATGTTGCCAAGGTTCTCATGCCGGTTGAAGCCGCCGGGCACAAGACTACAGGTTCCCCTCAGGGCGCGCTGATTCATTGCATTCTCGCAGTTCGTCAGCACCATTTTACCTTGATTTCTCTTGCTAACTAATACCTTTTTTTAGGCAAACCGTGCGCTCCGCTTCTGGAAGACGGGCGAGTTCATGAAGCCCACCGGTAGAGCAAGCCACTACTCGCAGGATAACTGGGGGGACACAAGCATATGGGTGGTCAATGACGAGACTAAGGAGAAGGTATTGCAGCTGGTTGCTCGCACCTCACGCTGGAACAAGTCAGTGAAGAAGCTGGGAGCCGAAGAGTGGAGGCGCTTGCACGAGGAAGCAATCGAGTATGCGCAAATCCGATACGCGGATATTCCTGAGGTTGTTGCAGATCCCTCAACCTCTAGTGGGTTGTCAGAGGCCGACGACTTCGAGCTCGAGTCCGATGGCTCTAACAGGGATTAGTAAGCGTGCAAAGCGCAGGCCGGTTAGTTTGCCCTTTGCCGGAAGCACGCGGATGCTCTGTCATGTATTGTTTACATCTTCTGCATCCTAATAAAATGTCTATTCTGCCTAAAATACATCTGTGTGTACCAATATGCATATGAAATGCTGTCTTTTATGGCAACTTTTGAGGGTCTTTTCAGATCTTTCAAAAGTCCCGGCATCTTTCAAAAGCCTCGACGTCTTTTTTACGCCAAGTGACATGGCGTAAAAAAGACGCCCCTGTCTTTCAGACTTTCGCATCTTTATGAGCTTTTTGCACTTTGAAAAGACCAAAAAGACATGCTGTTATTTTACTGATGTTTATCTTATAGTACATATAGATTAATACACTGTCAATGAGACTGAACCTCACCACGAAGAAACATAGTGGAGATGTCAGCGCTTGTCCCATTTAACCGGCTGCCGTGTAACATTGCGACGGCAGAAGGAGTGTCAGATGTCCCTAGCTGTCTGGCACCCGATGCCCGCTTGGCCGCTGCCTCTCCCATAAGCACCCTTGACCGCCACCGCGTGCGAACCGTGTCATGCCGCCCGGCTCTGCCTCTGCCGCGTTGTGCGGACGTGACAGCGCATTCTGAGGTCACACTAGCAGCGGGCCAATAGACGTTAACAAGAGCCGTCGTTGCCGATGTTCCGATGTTCCGACGGACAACGCCGGGACATTGCTGACGACCACCCTTGCAGGCGCCAGACAAAAGTCAGCCATTACGAGGCAGTAAATGATCCAGGGCTGCCTGGGCCACTCGCTCCTGTCAGCCGTCAAGTGGCCGCCGCGACCTTCGTGTGCTTTCGAGCGGCGAACGCCACCAGGTAGCATAATGCTGTCCGTAGGCCGCCCACGTCGAGGTGCTGCATGACGTGTGCACCGGCGGATAAGCTCTCATATAGGCTGCCAGGCATGAGATAGCTTATCTGGGCGCAGCCGCTCGAGGACGCGCACGGAACGTTGTGCTGCACTTCCTGCGGCTCGCTGGCACCCCTGACACTCTCGACCGTGGCAGGTGTCCGCCACATCGTGTCAGCCTCCGCTGCCTGCCGTTCGCGCACACACCGTCCTCGCACATTTTATTCGGTGCATCCTCTCTTTTGTATGAAGTTGGTGTTTCTGAACGGTTTTATCGACGTTCTGCATCTAAATTATACCACAGTATGTATTTAGATATTATACTATGCAAAGAAGCTATTTACATGCTGTACATGCTCGTGTATCTATGTGTGGTAGCTGTGGAACCGTTGACAAGGTCAGTCCACAGTACCTGCCTAATTAGGATGCAAGCCGCGGCTCAAGCCAAAGCCGAGCCACTGGCTTATGGCTTGCGGCGGCTTGCGGCTTGGCTTGTGTTTTTGCAAGCCTAAGCCTGGTAAAGCTGAGCCAGTCAAATCACTATGCTTCAGTTATACATAAAGTTGCTTCACCAGCAAATCCTTCGCCAGACTCTGCCTCGGCGTGCTGGAATAAATAACTGTGACTGTCTGTGGCTCCCGGTGACTGACCTGGTACTACTTATGGTATTAATTTGTATGGGACAAACACACACAAAATTTTCGGCGACTGCAGATTGGCCTGCAAAGCACCGTAAGAACCCAATGTTCACGCGAGCAGGACCTGTGGCGCTCCTGGGCGTGTATGTCACGTGGGATGTCTGTGGCGTTACATCCACTCTTTGCCCTTGCCCAGCGCAAGCTACAACGAATCCCAATTCTCAGAAGCAGAGTGACAGACAAAGCCCAGCGCTGCGTAATGGTCGCCGGGTGTATTGCATACCCCCTTGCAATCGTCGGCGGCGAGTCCAAGTCAGCTAACCCACCCAATTACCCGGTCGTCATCATCTCTGACGTGTTATGAGTGTCATGCTTTGTTCTTTCTGCACGGACGAAGGAGCGCTCCCCCGGGTTAGCTGGTCGCGTGAGACAGCTAATGTGAGCTGTGAAACTCTTGAATGTCATTTTTGCTCACTGTCCCTGAACTAGCGGTGAGCCAGGTCCCGCCATCCAGGATATGAGCTACTGATGAATACCATAACACTCATGTCCTGGCTGATGCCAATCAGTGCATCTCTGGCAATATCGTGGTCGGTATTGTGTGGGTCCCAGCTCATCTACCACTCGGTAGAGACACCGCAATGAGGCGCAGGTGGAGACATTCGTCGTCTCTCGTTTACCATCGATTCGCACAAAGCCTCATTGCTGAGGCCTATGGCCTTGTTGCTGAGCAGCTAAACACGGATGTAGAGCGGAAGTGCGGCTGTGAGTAATAGTGTATGTTTATAACACCTGTCTGTTTGACTCAAGCTTCTCCGCCCTCCCTAACTTCGCATATTGGTAGTATTATGGGCGGAGCCGAAGACGAGGTAGATCCCGTCCAGAAGCTTTTGCGTTTGCATTGCTCGAGCTAGATTCTTTCCCACGTTGCATATAATGTGGCGCCCGATTCTCTTGCCCTTTTCTGGCACGGTGTAATGATACTCCTCTATTTCTCATGATACCTCCTCTGGCAGAGCTATCCAGAAACAGGCTTGAACAATCCAGAACATTGTAGAGGCATGACTACCCACGCAGGTACGCCACATAGCTGCACCAAATGGGTAAAAATGACAACCACTTTAAATGTGCTCCAGACGAGACTCGTCGAACGTCGCATGCAGATTAACAAAGAACCGTGTGGCGTTTAAGCGATCTCTGGGCTTTCATCAAAGCCGTCCCATTTATTTTTCCTGGTGCCTCGATACGATCCATAGGAACATTTAGCATGCCTCGCGAGATGGCGCGTCCAATGGCAATCCGCCGTGCATCCTGAAGGGATCACCAAGAAGTGAACAAGGTGCCCCTCTGTTCTATAAGCTTTTTTCATGAAAGTATAACTGACAATCGATAAGGCACTAACGTGAGCTACTACTAAGCCATCATACAATCCGACATTCCGTATATGGTAACCGCTGCCTCAACACTCGCCACACGTTCATTTCGCTACATCAACAAATAGAGTCATGTTGTCGAGCAAGACACAGTCGCCGTCCGGTGAGATATGTGCTGTATGTACAGCTTATCATCTCGCAACGTCATTAAGAACGTCCTCAGATCATGCCGGATGGCAGGGGTGGCTAACATAGAATCACCGCACAGCATGTATGGGTGACTCGCTGCAACCATGCCATTATTCTGGAGGTTCAACACACTACTGTACCCGCAATTAAAGCTGCGAGGACTCAACTAGGACTGTTTCGCCATGCCGTACTCACTAGTGTCCTCGCAGGTATGCCCAGTACCTCACAGTAATGCCCCAAGAGGCTCTAGTGCATGGTTCAGCTATCACCTTGTGCGTTGGTTAACTGACAGGTGCCAGTTTTGCTCAAGGGTCCGCGTACTATAGGTGCGGGCACCGCAGGGTGATACGTTGTATACGGGAGCCATACTTGTTCAGGACGGCGATGTCCCTCTTCCTAACTGAGCAGACTGGGCGAACGCTTTTGGATGTTAGAGGGTGGTATACACCTATAAAAGGGGGGCGGACAGCCCTCAACGTTCTCCAGCAGCACAATCGTGTCGCAGCTTCTTCGCTCTACTTCGCTACTAGTATCCGCTACAGTGCGCTCGTCGTTTTACTTCCTCGTCACTCAAAATGCTGACTTGTCGCTCTCTGCTCTTTAGATGCAGCTCTACACACTCATCACTACCCTTGCCCTTGCCGCAGGCATGGTCAACGCTCAGACCGTGTGTGTCCCGCCCTGCGTCACTGTCACGATACCCCTTATCGGGACGATCCCCATGCCAGGCCTTACGTGTGCTACCGGCTTCACATGCTCGACTCTGGGTACTGGAACAGTTAGTATCCTTGGTACCAGCGTCGGAGTTAATGCTGGGGTAAGATATTCTCCCTCGATGCCACATTGTTAGATTACTGACCCGTTTCATTTTCAGACGTGCGTACCGTCTTAAGCTCGAGCGGTAACCCGAGGATTAGCTACTCTGATGCGCGACTTTGATGGAGAGCGGCGATTGTACGAGTATATGTGAACGAGTACCGAGAATGAATACACTGGCCAGTGTTATCGCAGGGTTCCTCAGTAAGATCCAGGTGCGCCAGCTCTTTGTATCCATAAGGCAAGCCCGGGAGGCCACTGTCTGAGCAGGAGTTTCTCCTGGCCGCTATTTGGGCCTATGTAACAATGGATGCGTGAGAAAGATGCCTTCATGTATTGCACCTACCACAGGACAAAACCCCAAGACAAAACCCCAAGATGCGTATCCCGGACGTGGCGACCAGCTCAGCTCTCCTGCGCAACAACATCGGGAGCGCGGATTCCTGTGCGATCATAGGCAAACGCGTGTAAACCTCGTGACAATACTCGTGGTGTACCTTGCACCAGACGGAGCTCGTGGTGAGTGCCAACGCGTGCACCTCTTCCGCCCCCGAGGCGAATGTGCCAGTGCTGTACCCGTACGACCAGTCTAGCGTGTCACGCATCACATATCCTTCGACCACCTCTCTGAAGAGCGGCGGTCACGTTGTCACAAGGAGTTCTGCCGTCCCCTGCATTTTCTCCTGCTAAAATTAATATTTAATATATTTCGGGCCTATGATGCAAAACGTATCGAGAGAAGACCTACTCGCTCTTTCCGTAGCGTTATTGCTTTTCCTGTCTGTGTTGCGGCCCTACCGGGTCACGCCTAGGCTGCCGCCGCATTCTTGACCGGTGCCACAGGCCAATGGCAAACTCACCGCTCCGCCGGACTGGTCGTACAGGTGCTACAGTAGGCCCCATTGCGGGTGGGCGGACATAGACACGTTGCCGTGCAGGTTTAATACCCCCGTCAGAGATGAGACCATGAACGCGAGGCCCCCGTCGCGCCGCGCTCTCAGAGTCTTGTTTAAGCTTGTTCCATTAGCAGCACAGGTTCCAATCATAATTGGTGGCACAATAGCTACATGAAAATTGGCGTTGAAGATGAGCCAACGATAAGTCAGGCGAGTGGTAGAGGGGAAAGTATCATGGTAGGCTCTGTGCTCGGTGGGCTTAATCTTTGTCTGATGCGCTTTGCATAGCGCCGTGATTTTCGGCCAGAGGCCAAACCGAACACTCGCCGACATGCACTAAATGTGAAGACGACTCTTCTAGCAACCTCCCTGCAGGCCCCTACTGCTTATTAGCCCCTCGGATACCATGTTTCAGGCTCCTACACTCGATGAAATTTGCGCAGTCGTGTACAATGTTGAAGCGCCTAGTGGCTCTGGCTCGGCGTTCCGCCCGGCATGGACTTAAGGTGGACATCTTAGATTAGGCGCTGCTAATACGTAGATAGTGATTGGACAATCATATGTAGTGCTCCCATGCACGGACCTCTTTATGGCAGGCTTCCCCATTCTAGCGGACTTTCAATTTTGCTTCCTTTTAGTATATAAGGACTCCTCTCGCACCCCCACTCTGCGTGCTCTTTCCCTTCGCACTCAGAGTAAGTTCCCTTCGTCGCCCTTGCGCATTATGTAGTATGCGCACCGGACCCCTGTCTAGCTAACACCGTGTGTATTAGGTACATAGCTATACAGCGTGCTCTTTCCCTTCGCACTCAGACTAACACCGTGTGTATTAGATCGTGCCTGTGTGCCACTCGCCAGTTCGCGCTCGCGCAGCCCAGTCGTCGTATCACGACAATAGGTTATGAGCCCCGGCTTGTAACTGGCTCCCATCTACCCTCCATCCCTCACGAGTCTTCACTCGGAGAGATCCAGCACCAGCCACACATTTGCTCCATAACACCTCAGGGTCTTTACCCCAAGTGTTACTCCACATCGCAACACGGACACTAGAGATCCTCTAGTGCATGTCTAGTCCATCTGCATCACGCCCACCTTCACCAACTGCACCGACACCTGCACCCGCACCGGCACCCCGTTCTACACGTCGCACTCCCGCCGCTCCAACCACACCCTCTCAATCTGCGTCAACTGCACCTCGCCGCACAACGACAATGTCCTCCGCCTCCGCATTCGCATCAGCCACCGGTCTGCCGTCGATGAAGCTTGACGCGATCGGGAAGCTCAAAGGTTCCAGCGACTACCCACGCTGGTCCCTAATGATGCAGCAGTACTTCATTGCTGCACGCGCATGGAAGGTTGTCGACGGCACCGAAAGAGCCCCTGTCCCAAGCAGCTCCGTCTCCGCTGCGGACATCGAAGCATGGGAGACGACGAACGCATACGCGAGGTTCTACATCCTCAGCATGCTCGGCGACGAGCTCCTGCACCTCGCGAACCCAGTGGACATCACAGCCGCCGCGCTGTGGAAGAAGCTGAAGGACAACTACGCCGCCTCCACCACCATGTCAGCATTCGTCAAGTTCCGTGCATACTTCTCACACGCAATCACGGACAGCGATGACCTCGCTGCCCAACTCGACGAACGCGCCCGACTCTGGCAAGAGGTCAGCGCCTCCGGGATCCTCCAAACCCCGGAGCTCCTGCAGATATTCGGCCTGCTCACGGCCCTCCCCGACTCGTTCAACAACATCGTGGAGCTGATACTCACAGTCACCAAGCCCGCCGACTTGAAGCTCGACGACATCCGCAACCGTCTCCTCGACGAAGAGAAACGTCGCAGCTCCTCCACCAACGTCGCCGCCTTCCACGCACTGAAGGCGTCTACCTCAGGGAAAGCCAAAGCTGGCAAACCTGACGGCAAGAAGGGCAAGTGCAACTTCTGCCACTACAAAGGTCACTACGAGCAGGACTGCAGAAAGAAAAAGGCCGCCGCCGAAGAGGCGCGGAAGGGTAGCAATGGCAAAGCCCAGGACGGTAAAAGTAATCCGTCCGGTAGTAGTACTGGTCACGCATCTGTACATGTAGTCACCGCCGAAGGAGCAGCTGCTCCCGAGGCCGAAATTCACTCCGCTTCCTGGTATCTCCACGGTGTGAAACGCTGGATGTTAGACTCTGGCTGTACACGACACATTACGAATGACCTGAACGACTTCGCTGAATACACCGCCTTCGCATCGCCTACATATGCAACACTAGCAGACAAGGCGAAAACGCAAGTAAGCACGCTCGGTTCAGGTGTTGTCGAAGGCACTACGCTCGTTGACAATAAACCAGTAAACATCAGGCTAGAGAACGTTCTCTACAGTCCTGCAATGTCCGGACGGCTAATATCTGTCTCATGCATCGAAGATAAAGGCTTCGATCTCGTCTTTGGGAAAGGACGAGCCCAAATCAAGTGTGGTAACACCACGTTTGGCATAGGCACTAAGTCCTGCGGTCAGTATTGGTTGGACCTTACTCCACCTCCACCATCTGTAGCGGTCTCCACGCACAACGCCACTTCGCTCGATGTTATCCATCACCGGTTTGGTCACCTGAACTGGGAGGCAGTACACAAGCTTGCCGCTGCTGATTCCTCTCCGGTCAAAGGCCTCATCACCGCCGACATGGATAAACCTTCGCATCCCTGCGAAGGCTGCATCTTGGGCAAAGCACACAGGCGTACATTCCCCACATCGTCCACCTCACGCGCCAACAAACCCTTCGACCTCATTCACTCTGACCTCGACGGACCTATGTCAGTGGTGTCCATCACGGGCCACCGATACTTCGCTACCTTCATCGACAACTGCTCCGACGTCACATGGGTCTACTATCTGCAAACAAAGGATGAGTTCCTCTCCGCGTTCAAAGACTTCGTAGCCCTCGTCGCGTGACAGTTTGACACGGTCATCAAGGTCTTTCGGTCAGATCGAGGGGGTGAATACCAGTCCAACAAGTTCATCAACTTGTTGAAGAAATCTGGGATCATCCACGAGCGCACGATACCCGGTACCCCACAGCAAAACGGCAAAGCTGAGCGCATGAACCGCACGCTCGTAGAAGCCGCTAAGTCAATGCTACAAACCACCGGGTTATCACACGGATTCTGGGAAGAAGCTGTTCGCACAGCTGTGCACGTACGCAACAGAGGCCCAAAGAAAGCTATTGCATGGCGTACGCCCCTGGAACGACTCACTGGCACCACACCGGACGTGTCCCATTTCCGAGTCTTCGGTTGCCAGGCCTATCGCCATATACCCGGGGATAAACGCAAGAAACTCGATGCTAACGCTGAGAGCCTAGTGTTTATCGGCTATGAGACGAATTCTAAAGGTTATCGTCTATGGGATAAACGTAGCAGAAAGATCACCACGAGTACTGATGTGATATTTGACGAGTCGATCTTCCCCAACAAACTCCTACCCTCACCGTCCTCGACACAACCGACCGGATCTACATCCACGCTGCCGTCATCTGTCGAACTCGAACTACCACCCCTTAACACGCCACCGGCTCCTACGCAGCCGCCACAGCCTGTACCACCTCCTACTCAACCCATCACACCAAAACCGCCTACAGCATCCCAAATACCATGCCTTACACCTCGAACAGAGTTGTATCCAGCTCCGCCAATCCCGCCAAGTGCACTGGTCAAGCCCGAATTCAAAGGCAAGGCCAAAGCCTCACCATCCCACATCGTCGCCCCTCCGCCACTCCAGCCAAATCCCAACACTACCTCGTGGGATTACAATCCCTTCACCAATCCTGAGCATGCCACGACGTCGTCAGGCGTCCGCCGCGGTACCCGCGAGCATAAGGCAACTCAGAAATGGACAAGTATTTGGCCCGGAGCGACCGAAGCAGACATCGAGAAAGCACTGAACACAGGCAAGGAACCGGGCGACATCGCTGCGATCGTAGGTGACTCCTCCATCGCTGGAGAGCCGCGAACCTACAAACAAGCAGCCGATGCCCCGGATTCAGCGGAGTGGATGACTGTCATGCAGGCCGAAGTCACTGGCCTTCTGGAACAAGGCACCTGGGAACTTGTCGACCTACCAAAAGGTCGCAAGGCGATCAAGTGCAAATGGGTATACGTTGTCAAGCGCAACGAGAACGGAGAAGTGGATCGCTACAAGGCAAGACTCGTAGCCAAGGGGTTCACGCAAGTTCAAGGCATCGACTACGAAGACACCTTCGCTCCCGTCGCCCGCCTGGAATCCTGGCGATACCTCATCGCCCTAGCGACTACCCAGGACTGGGAAATCCATCAGATCGACTTTGATAGAGCATATCTGAACGGAGAACTCGACGAGGAGCTATACATGGAGCAACCCGAAGGTTTCGTAACGGACGCAGGCAAAGTATGCCGCCTGCGGAAAGCAATATACGGGTTAAAGCAAGCGGGACGAACATGGTTCCTCACGCTCAAAGCCTGTCTCAAGGACATAGGATTCGCATGCCACGACGCCGGTGACGTATCCATCTTCATTCGCTGTCAACGAGGGGGATCCACTCAAATTTTAGTGGTTTACGTTGACGACCTAACTATGATGGGAAACAGCCTCGATCTCATCCAACAAACGAAAGAGGCACTGAAGGAAAGGTTCCAACTCAAGGACCTTGGCGAACTCAAATACTACCTCGGCATCCGTGTCACGAGGGATAGGGGGAGTCGAGCTACATACCTCGACCAGGAAACGTACATCGAGTCCGTTCTCAAACGATTCGGATACAAAGACTGCAACCCCGCATCCACACCACTCGGCACTGACATCGTACTCGAGAAGAACGAGGAAGACCCTGCAGACTGCCCACAAGACCGTATCAAGCTCTACCGCTCACTCCTCGGCTCACTCATGTACGCCATGCTCGGGACTCGCCCCGACATCGGCTTTGCCGTCGCCCGACTTTGCCAATACCAGGCAAACCCTTCACCAAAGCACGTAGCTGCCGCCTATCGTGTTCTCAAGTACCTCCGCGGCACCTCCAACTATCGACTCTGTCTAGGTCAGAATGACGAGACTGATAGCCGTTTGCTCGGTTACACCGACGCAGACTTCGCGAACGACAAGGACAACTCCGTCTCAACATCCGGCTGGGTTTACAAACTCGGTAGAGGTGCGACCAGTTGGTCTTCTCGCAAGCAACGCTCTGTGGCTCGAGACACCTTCGACGCAGAGTACTTCGCAGCCGACGAAGCAGTCCGACATTTACAGTGGCTCGAAATCTTTGCTGAGTACATCGAACACCCACTCGCGAAGCCTGTCCCTCTCCACTGCGACAACAAATCTGTTGTTCACGCTGCCCAGTCACCCAACGTCAAGCATCGCACGAAACACACCCGCGTCAAAGCTCATGCTGTTCACGAGCAATTCGAAGCAGGTCTGATCGAACTTGTTAGGATTCCCGGTGTCGACAATCCGGCTGATATTCTCACAAAGCCTTTACCGGCTGAGGTACACAACCGTCACACCCAGTCTCTTGGCCTCGTTCCATATCGCCTCGCCAAGGGGGAGTGTTGAAGCGCCTAGGGGCTCTGGCTCGGCGTTCCGCCCGGCATGGACTTAAGGTGGACATCTTAGATTAGGCGCTGCTAATACGTAGATAGTGATTGGACAATCATATGTAGTGCTCCCACGCACGGACCTCTTTATGGCAGGCTTCCCCATTCTAGCGGACTTTCAATTTTGCTTCCTTTTAGTATATAAGGACTCCTCTCGCACCCCCACTCTGCGTGCTCTTTCCCTTCGCACTCAGAGTAAGTTCCCTTCGTTGCCCTTGCGCATTATGTAGTATGCTCACCGGACCCCTGTCTAGCTAACACCGTGTGTATTAGATCGTGCCCGCGTGCCACTCGCCAGTTCGCGCTCGCGCAGCCCAGTCGTCGTATCACGACAATATACAAAGCTATTGCAGCTCGCTGCCAACGGTTTGGCATGCTGCCTCTTCGACAAGGCTGCCTCCTTGCAGTAGCACAGACCCGGCTCATGATCGGCCTGTGTGCAGCACAAGTACACACCGTTTCAGTGGCAGATTCTCAGCACTAGTCCGTTCACAATGATGTGTTCTTTTATGACAAATCCATCAGCGGAGTTTAGACATAGTCTCTCCTCTTGACAACTGGCAAGAGTCTGGAAGCTTAATGGGTGTTAATTTAATGCACGCATTCGCGCGTTCGCAACCAGCGCAGATGCGCTCACAATTTTAGACTATTTAGTCATTTCTCAAGTTAATGTCTGTCGTTTGAAGAGATATTGCATTCCCGAGACCCTGGAACCTGTGAGTGGAAGGGTAGAACATCGATTCTCCTACCTTGTCAGATGGGAGTCACTATAGCCGGCGAACGGTCGCCGGCGATTGCAGTGAGCTATTCGCTCTATACGCCTCCGTTTCGTCTCAATCTGGATCCCTGAAATGCCAGCACCACTCCCGCCACGAAAGGAACAGCTATTCTCTCACAGCTTACCTGGTGCCGCGACGGGAGGCAAGCTGTCTCTTCACGGCCGCCACGTCGTAGACGGTTTCGGCAGAGTATGCACCATGCGTAGAGTGAACTTGGCAGGAAACTGCATAACGTGCGCCCCTCATGCTCTTCTTTGTTTGGTCTGACATGGCTGAAAGGCCAGCGAACGATGATCACGAGGCTTTTCCTGCGAATCACGAAGCTGTCACCTTCGTGAACCGACCGTTCCTGCCGGAGCAAGCGCACGAGCACTTGTCTCGCCCCTGCAGATGGAGATTCACATTCAGTGCATGCCGTACATCGTAGTGCGCGATGCATCTCATGGCGCCGCACTCCAGCTCATTTTCTTGTTACGTGGGAGTCGATGGAACATGAAGGGTCGCGAGTACCCTCACCGTCCACGTAGCACCCACTTCTCACAGCCATCCAGAGGCAAATACGACAACAAATACCTCGCGTATGTCCACGCCCTTTTATCGCTTCTTCCGCAGTATGGCGTAATCGCCTTCGTCTTGATGCACCAAGACGTCTGGTCGCGATACTCTGAAGTCTCAGACACGCCAGCGTGGACGCTCACTGTCACAAGCTTTGACCTCGGCGCGTTCGAAGAGACCGGCGCGGCATAGCTGAAGGGCGTGAAGGGTGGAGGGCATGTCGAGGAAGAAAGAGGTCTCTGGCTGTGTGGGTACCATAAGCTCGCCGCCGCGATAATGGCGTATATACTTCCGTTTTCTCCTTACTTGGAACGCTAGACTGAACATAATGAACCATGGGACATGTTTTTGGGTCGAAGACGCGTTTACGCCGAAGCTGCGCGTGAAGGATGCCCACGGTGCAAAAATCTCCATCCAACAGTTCTTGCAGGCCTCGTTTCTCAACTCTTGGGAAATGCTTGCCAAGGCCGTAGGAGACCTTGATGGTGTAATCGGCTTTGAGGTCAGTAGCACGAAAGTATCACTCATTCCCGTAACAAATGTCCTTTCGACAGATCATGAACGAACCACATAGGGGATACGTAGAGCTGCAATCAATGCAAGGCTTCGACTACAACGCCGATCTCCATCTTGGACCCGTCCGTTCGTCTTTGCTGCCTGTGTCTTCTCAGCCTCTTCTAACACTTCTGCAGCGACCCCATTGCAGTCTTTCACTCTGGGTGCTGGTCACCCCACAGAGGTCGGCGTCTGGACGCGTTCGTTCCTTATACCTACGCGTCGCACATCACAGGTCATCCTGAACAAGGCAGATCGGAAGATCTGGTACCACGACGGCCCGACTGGCGAGCGGTGTATATGGGAGATGCTCGGCATCTGGGGCTGGGACTGCAACAAGAAGGAGGGCATCGTTCCCCGGGAGAACCACTTCAAGAAGCATTCGATGACGAACGCGAAGGTATGGTACGCTGGTTGCGCTAAGTCGAGTACTCAGCGTCTGCCATAGGTCGACTGGTGCACAGCCTTCTATTTCCCCTTCCTCGAGAAGTGGGCACACCTTGCCCACTCAATGTCCAACTCTGACAAGATGATCTTCGCTGAAGCCATTCCGAATGGGTACGCTGCTCGCTGTCCGCCGCCCTCATGCGTCGCTTAGACCGAAACAGTTTTGTCCAACTTCGTGGACGCCGGAGCATCGGCCGAGGAATATGGTGTGTGAACCGCACTGGTATGACTTGAACGCGCTGTTTACCAAAGGATTCGGCGATTTTTCCGTGGATGTCCAAGGATTGTCTCGGGTACGTCCCATACGAGCATCGATTACTTGCTCGGACTGATGTCAGTTCAGGGCGTGTTTCCGCTCAAGACTTTCTATTGAGGCCAGCAGGGAGCGTGGGATAAGTATGCGCTGCACACACGAAATATCGCTGAAGAAGTCTACCGCTCGTTGGGCGAGAAGCCGGTGGTCATCGGAGAGTGCGGCGTACCCATGGACATGAAGTACGTACACCCCGGATACGAAGCATTCAGAGTACTAATCACGTTTGCAGCGGTGAGGAAGCGTTCAAGTCAGAGGGCTTCACCTGGCAGCTGCGGATGTTCGACGCGATGGTGCGTGCCTTGGAACGAGCGATGATGGGATTCACGTATGTCTGCCCCATGTTCTCATGTTCACAAATTTGCTCAATAGTCTTCAGAATCTGGAATTACAAGCCGAACAGCGACGATCGGAAGGGCGACGATTGGAACGGCGAGAATTTTTCACGGTTCAGCCAACGGCGCGCCTTCCCTTCTCGACTGTGACCGGAGCTCGCCAACCCTCGACAACGGCGCGCGCATCCTGCGCAGCGTCGTCCGCCCGTACCCATCCAAGGCCGCCGGCATACCTCTGCGGTTCGAATACGAGGTCAACACGGGCGAATTCACCTTCGAGTGGGCCGTCCCTGGGCCGTCCAACGCGCCATCCGAGCAGCCTGCGGTCCGCCCCTCGGTGCACCGCCCGCCTCTCGCGGGCCACCCGCCGCTGACGTCGCACGTGACGGAGATCTTCGTGCCATCGTTCCTCGCGCTCGGCGGTGCGGTCGTCATGCAGGGCCTCGCGGAGGGCGGGAGTTACGAGTACGACGAGGCGCGCCAGACGCTGTACGTCCGCGCGCCAGCCGACGCCGCGTCCGGGACCGTGCACCGCATCCGCGTCGTGCTCGCACCGCGCCTCAAGGCCGTGTTCCTCGTCAACGACTTCTGGAGCGACTGGGGGAGCACGGTCGCCGCCGTCGCCGCCGCCGTGCTCGCCCTGTGGGCGTGACTGCTGATGCGGATCTCACAGAGCTTGTAGGACAGGTGTCGGGTTTGATCTTGCTGGATTTGTGTAGACGGTCTGGGTAATGGAAGCTGATTCATTCTATTTGGAATTTGGGTGATGATCTGGGCCTTGTTGCTGATAATGACTAAGAACTCAACGCTCACGCGGAGAGTAGGTTCATCGGCACATTGGGCGGTCAAATATAATGCATTATAATGCACCATCGGGCATTTATAATGCGTTATAATGCGATTTTTAGTGATTTTTGAGTTTATAATGCAAGATAACGGACCAGATCGCATTATATTGCATTTTAATGCAATGTAATCTCCGTCCCTTTTTGCCGATGTTCTGTGGCGCTTCTGAGCTGTACATTTTGCGGTGCCCCCAGTCACGTGGGATATTAGTGGCGCTCCGTACGTTGCGTCCACTCTTTGCCTTTGCAGATGCAATCTGCAACGAATCTAAAATCTCAGACGTAGAGCGACGAACAAAGTCCAGCACTGCACAATTATTGCTGGGTAAGGTGTCTAGAAACTCTTCGCAGTGAGTTTCTCACACGCAGGGCCCGGCTTCGACTGTCGGGCGCGCTTGAGGCTAGCAGAACGGACGCTCAGTCCGTAGCTCAGAAGAAGGGAAGTCTCTAAGATGTATTTACCTAGCAGAACGGACGCTCAGTCCGTACTGCAATACAGTCAGTACCCTACAGTGTCCATAATGAGAGGATATACGCACGCTCAGAAGAAGGGAAGTCTCTGAGCGTGCACGACAGGGAAAAGCGAGTAAATAAGGAAAGCGGCAGGTGCCTTAGCAACTGGTGAGTCAGGAACGAAATAACGAACGCGCTATCTAATAAAATACTGTCCAATAGGAATCTGAGTCATCCCGAGACATGTGCGTGCGAGCGCACGAGCCCAAAATTCAACAAGGTGCGTATTCTCTTGTAATCGTCGCTGGCGACTCCGAGTCAGCTAACCCACTCAATTACCCGGTCGTCGTCATCTCTGACGT